GCTTGCGCCACCGGGCCAGCCCCATATATTCATATTCAAGGATAGGTTTCCCCTTCCCCCCTGCATAAGTGGAACGATACTATAAATAATAATCTGACTTGTTCTTTCCTTTTAATATAGCTTGGAGGTCTTTCCATATAAATATAGATCTATCTCATTCTTTTTACTGCTGCAGAGAATTTCATATTTTAGTAATATCAGAAATTATTCAACCATTTCTATTTTTCTGGACATTTAATTGTCACCATTTTTTCTTATACTAACCCCCTAGTGTTTGTCTTTGGGCAAATATTTCAGAAGAAAGAGCTTTTAAAGCTGAAAGTATTAGGTCAAATGGTATGTGCATTTTAATTTTTTTAAAGAAGTTCACTACTATAATGTTCTAATATGATACTTTATTATTGTTTTAATTTGCATATTCCTGGTTAATGGTCATGGAGAACATTTTTTTTGTTCTCCATTTTTACTTCTTTTGCTGTAAATTGTCTATTCATATGCTTGGAGGTCTTTCTTATTTTGAGGGGAAGGGGAATAATTTGTTAATGAATTTTGGAGAGCTTTATGCTTTTTAGATATTAATCTTTTTGTTATGTATGCAGCAAATATTTTCTCCCAGTTTGACGTGTTTTTTTTGTTTTAAAAAAATTTTTAATTTTATGCTCAAATCTGTCAGTCTTTTTCCTTACACTTCTAGATTTTGGAACTTGCTAAGGAAGGCTTTCTCCATCCCCAATATTATAAAAGTAGTCTCTATTTTTCTGTAGTATTTTACCGTTTTGCTTTTGTATTTCCTGCTGATTTGTAATTCTTTTAGGGTCCATTTCTAGACTTCATTTTTTAAATCTATTCCCATGCTAAATCCATATTTAATTACAATAGCTTTATATATATTTTTTGCTCTTATATGGTTAAGTCCTTTTCTATTGTCATTTTCAAAATTTACTTGGTTATTCTTGCGTCTTTACTCTTTCAAATAAATTTTAGGATTAACATACAAAAATTTTTTAAATGCTATTGGGATTTTGATTGGAATTTCCTTGAATTTATGGATTTATTTTAGGAGAAATGACAACTTTACAAGATTCCCTTCCTGAAATATAATGGGTCTGAATACTTATTTAGATCTTCATTTATGTCCTTTAGTAAAGATAGTTTTCTTCATACAAATATTGTTTATTTAAATCATAAAGAAATATGTTTTTGTGATGTTATGAATGAGATTCAGAGTTTTAAACTAAGAGTTTTAAAGTAGTCTGGTGAATTGCAAACATGATTTGACTTATCTCTTCAATATATTAATAGGGTAGATCTAAGATGCATACATATATATATTCTTTTATGTGTGTGTGTGTGAGGAAGATTGGCCCTGAACTAACATCTGTGCCCATCCTCCTCTATTTTGTATGTGGGATGCCGCCACAGCATGGCTTGATGAGCAGTGTCTAGGTCGGCACCAGGATCTGAACCTGCGAACCTTGTGCTGCCAAAGCAGAGCACATGAACTTAACCACTGTGCCACCAGGCTGGCCCCTACCCATATATATTCTTTTTTTTTTTTTTTTT